CCTCTTGCTTCATCGATCTTTATAGATGCATATATCTTTTATCTCTATGTGGTGCTCGTCAACATCTGCCTCTCATCTGTGGTGTCATTTGACCTTCTATGCCCCTGACTCGATCTTCCCCCGGCTCTACCTTCTGATATAATCGTCCACCGTGTTCGACTTCCAACGGGTTGATGGGTTCATCCAACGGGTTCGGGTCCAATGGGCTAATGCGCTCCTTGGACGGGTTTGACGTCCAACGGGTTGGGTCCAGCGTGTTCGACTTCCAACGGGTTAATGCGCTCCTGGGACGGGTTTGACGTCCAACGGGTTAATGCGCTCCTGGGACGGGTTTGACGTCCAACGGGTTTGACGTCCAACGGGTTGGGTCCAACGGGTTCGACGTCCAACGGGTTGGGTCCAGCGTGTTCGACTTCCAACGGGTTAATGCGCTCATCCAACGGGTTCGGGTCCAATGGGTTAATGGGCTCCTTGGACGGGTTTGACGTCCAACGGGTTGGGTCCAGCCTGTTCGACTTCCTCATCCAACGGGTTCGACATCCAACGGGTTTGGGTCCAGCGTGTTCAACTCCCAACGGGTTAATGCGCTCCTGGGACGGGTTTGACGTCCAACGGGTTGGGTCCAGCGTGTTCGACTTCCTCATCCAACGGGTTCGACGTCCAACGGGTTTGGGTCCAACGGGTTTGACTTTCAATGGGTTAACGGGTTTGCGTCTAATTTAACCGCCTATCCTGACCTCACTGCCCACCCCTGTCTCTAGCCTCACTCTTTTTCAACCCTAACCCTGACTCTGACCACCTCATCCTTCCCCCCAGCCTCTACCCTCACTCTTTGTAACCCTGACCCTGATCCATTATCATATGGGATGATACTGTTTGAAACTGATCTTTTGAACCTGATCTACTTTCTCTTGATGTTATATCCCTTTACCCTCTGTCTCTTGCTTCACCTGCCTTTATATATATATACATCTTTCATCCTCCTGTGGTGCCTCTCACCCGTGATGTGCCCCTCACCCATGATATCACTTGACCTCTGTACCCTCTGACTCGATCTTCCCCCTCTCTGCCTCCTGATATATCCCTCGCAGCCAACAAACCATCTCCACCAGCCGGTTGTGCTCCATGCCCTGCCCCTCAACCTTCTGTCCCAAAAATTCAATCACCGCCTCCTGATCATCTGCATCCACATTGAACTCTCTCAGCCGCTGTCTCCACGCCTGCTTCATCTGCCCTGCATGACACCCATACATCATCATTGCCACTGTCGGGATCAAAAATCCCCTGTACGGACACTGCCTCTGTGTCTTCCAGCTGTTGCATATGGACTGCGGCATCCCGCATCGGAAGCACCCGGAATACCGTGTGTATTTGATCTTGCTCCGCACTGTCATCATCCATCTCTTTGCCTCCTGGCTCTCCTCGTGGGGACACTGGTACAGCTCATGGTCAAACTCCCGCTTGCCATTTGCACATATTAAACACTGATCCTTCCAGCTCTGCGCCTCTTCCACTAAAACCTCCTCATCCATCAATGCCCTCTGCCCTCGCTGCTGATGTGTGATGATGAACCGGCCTTGATGGACATTCTGTTTGTGGAATGTCTGTCTGATTGTTGATGGGATGCCTCTGATGTCTTCACTGATTACCCTTCATTCTGATTGCCTGTGAACGTGTAATCCGCCTCCTCCATGGGGCTCACCACGGCCCACTCTCCCACCATCTGGCTTGCTTGGTTCCTGGCCAGCATGTCGGATGCATTGGCGTCCAGTCGCAGCGCCTTCTGCACCACCATGAACCGTGCCACCTTGATGATCCGTGACAATATTGGTGGGTAGCTCTCCGCGTCGCGCCATCCATACTCCCCCCGTCCCAGCACCGCCAACGCGTCTACCAGCGCGCACTCATAATCCTCCACCTGAACCCGCTGGTTCAGCAGCTCAATGCAAAAATCCAAACATGCCATCTGGATCTTGGTTAATTTGAACTTATCTTCTTCTTGATCCGTGACAATATTGGTGGGTAGCTCTTCGCGTCGCACCATCCATACTCCCCCCGTCCCAGCACCGCCAACGTGTCTATCAGCGCGCACTCATAATCCTCCATCTGAACCCACTGGTTCAGCAGCTCAATGCAAAAATCCAAACATGCCATCTGAATCTTGACTAATTTGAACTTATCTTCTTCTTCTGACTGGGTATCTCTCTGTCTCTTCTCCTCCTCCTCCTCCTCCACCACATCCATCTGCTCATCTATGGGAGTCATCTGCTCATCCATGGGGACTGGGATGATGAGCTCTCCCTAGATCTCTACTGCTCGGGTGTTTACCTGGCACACGACTCTCCATGACTGGTGCTGCCGCCATGAGAACCGATACTATAGGGTCTTCAATTCATGAT